AGGCATGCGCCACCGTGCCCGGCTAATTTTTTCTATATATTTTTAGTTGTCTAGCTAATTTCTTTCTATTTTTAGTAGAGACGGGGTCTCGCTCTTGCTCAGGCTGGTCTTGAACTCCTGACCTCGAGAGATCCTCCCTCCTCGGCCTCCCAGAGAGCCAGGATTACAGGCGTGAGCAACCGCGCCCGGCCGCCTCTAAAATTTTTCAATCAAAATCCTGGGCTTCCTTTTGTCTTTTCTGCCTCTTGCCTCGTGATTATTCCCGTCCAGTGATCTCAAGTCTGGAACCGCTGTGCGGAGGAGCAGTTGACAGGAAGGCCACCTTCCCCGCGACGCGGCCTCGGCCAGGACGGGGGCCTGACAGTAGCTTGTGCATTGGGTGTGCTGGTTTTCATCTGTCGTTTTAGGGGCCCCAGGGCCTACTCAAAGGGAATTGAAAGACGGCAGCATCAGCCCCTCCGACTTCCAGGCCTGCCTGGACAGCTGGCTGTGTGAAAGCCTCCTGGTGCCTGGCGGGGCCCACAGCCTCCAGATCCACCTCCTGCAGGTAGGAGCCGGGGAGCCATCCTGGGCAGCGTGGGTGGGAGAGGTCCCGCGGCGTCAAGCAGTGTCTGGCCCCTGGCCGGCCACGGCACCCCCAGCCCGTTCGTGCCCACCCCCCATCTCAGCGGCCCCGGTTCCTGCTTCTCATCCTGAGTGGCTCCTCCCAGCCCCAGCTTCTGCCTTTCCCCAGCCCGACCCATCGCATCTGCTTAAGCTCTCACCGTCGTCGGCACTGATGCCTTAGATCGCGATGCCACCTGTCACCCTGTGTCTGCTTCCCCAGCGCGATCCGTCTCCCCGCCTCTCGGAGACGGAAGCGGGCATGCCCCTCCCCTGCCCAAGGCCCCGGGGCTGTCTGCAGCATCATGGAGTTGTTGGAGGCTGCACTGCCCCTCCCCAGCCCTACTTCTCCTGCCGGGGCTGGGGTGGGGTCTCCTTGGGCCGCGTGGGCCGCTGGTCTCTGGGGACTGCTCCCGGCACACCACCGGCTGTAGCCTCTGTGTGTTAAACGTGGCTGGATATTTTTAGGCCGGGTGCGGTGGCTCACGCCTGTGATCCCAGCACTCTGGGAGGCCGAGGTGGGA